TTCCGTCTGAGTTTCAAACAGCCACGACAGCCATGGTAGACATTACTTCTTCACAACTCCTCACACCAACTTTCTTGGCTTCACCCACATGGCATAAAAGCATTTAATGTCTTACTCCTAAATCATCCCCACATAATGGAAGGACTGACTGTAACAGCAGCACTGGAAAGGGGAATGGCTATTGCGGGGCACGTGGTACTTTTTTTTTTTTAAACGAAGTGTGCCATCCTTTCCCAACCCTCCTATTGTCTGAAGATTGTTTCCAAGTTTTTGCCATTGTAATTTTGATGAATGATTTATGCCTTTTATGAGATGATGAGTCAGAAAAAGGTTTTTTTGCTTTGTTTTCTCTCTCATTTAATGTCAGAATGAGAGCTTTTTTAATTAAGTATATCCTGGCTGATCTAAATTTATTAAATTACAAATCAGTAAAAATGTAAGCTTTAGTAAAATAAAGACTGATTTCAAATTCAACATATAACTGGTATAGGAATATCTTTTATCTAGTACTTAATGGGTGCTAATCTACACTACATCCATGAGATTTAGATTTATGCCAGTGTAGTCAATAACCAGACAGGAATCAGTGATCATTGGCATGTAGCATGTGAAGTATTTAGGTCACAGGATTTTGCAGCATTATGTTCTTGGAATAAAAATGTAAGTGGGATAACAATGATGGATGAGAATGCAATCTCTCTCAAGAGGTAACAAGCAGTTTTTGTGGCTTCAGGGCCAGATTAAAGGACTGATAACAGAGACATTCTTGCCTGGTGTTCCTGCCGTTTTAATAGATCTGAAAATAAGGCTGTTACATAAAAGTGACATGAGGGCCCTCATTTCAATTGTTAGCCATAGGAAATAGTGCCTTAAATATTTGGCCTTCATAATAACTAAAAATAGATTTATGGAGTTAGGATTTGCAAACTTTTTTATTTTTCCTCCTAAGCATATTAAAGTGCTAGTACAGACCTCTGTTGTCAGTAGGCTTGGACAGAGAGACTTGTTTTTCCAACTTATCTTTTGTGAACACCCTGGAAATAGTCCACGGGCCCCCATGGATTCCCAGCTGACGAGCGAGAAAACATTTCTAGAGCAAATATGAAATCAAATTTATTTTTACATAGCATAAAATTGCAAAGCATAGCTTCAGTACTTGATGCTCGCTTAAGCACCATGAAGTATTCTTTTATTTTCATTAACTGTCTCTCATTTTTCTAAGCTTAATCTTCACAGAATTATTTTTAACAGCTGTGCATTTTTTGTTAACTGTTGGGCTTTTCTTTTTGTTCTTAACCTTAAGGCAGTTTTCATTCCAAGTGAACTAAGGCAGCTACGTGCTTCTGCGCAACTGGGAGAAGAGGTGCTAGCTGTGGGCGTAGAGGGGGTACCCCTACCCCAAGTCTACTAGCCAGCTTGCAAAGAGAGTCTGTTTGGGGGCAGCGCAGTGCATTTGTCTGTGCAAATGCCTGGGATTTTTAAGCCAGGGCATACTTCTTTGAGCCTTTGGTTTGAGAGGGTACTCGTGTCCTGCCCAAGTTCCTGGAAGGAAGGAGAATTGTTCAAACTGGAAGCGAGCTGAAGCAAGGAGCTCTGGCCAGAGAAGCTGCAGAGCATCTTCCTCGGAGCTTGATGTCTGATCTGAATGCATTTGGGGTTCACTGTACCATGTATTTCTCCCTATAGTAAATATTGTACTGGATCTATAAGACTCTGGGGAATAGTTTTCTCATTCTGATGGGGCTGTGCCATCCACAATATTAAATAGTGTTTCACATTGTATCCTTTGCATCCCTGGAATAAAATACAATGGATGCTCAAATTGCTGCTGAAAACTACCCAGGCTTTTCTTCCATTTCTGTTCCTCTGTTTTCAGCTGGTTTAAATCTTGAGAACATCTCAGCATAGCTAAAAATGAAAGCTTTTGGCAGCTGAAAAGCCATAATTCATTGAAAGAAAGGGAGTGAATATGATGGTAGGGAGCCTGGCTGACCAGGCGCTTGCAGCTTGGGCTGGATTGGGTTAGCTGCTCAGCTGTCTTAAAAAACTGAATCTTTAGAAGAACTGTCAGGGATCATTTCTGTCTTCTCTGACTCCTGTGAGGCTGGAAAGAGCAAAAAACCAGGGTTGTTTGTTTTTGAGGGGGGTGTTGTTTTGGGTTTTCGTTTGTTTTTTGAATTCTACTGAGTTTGCTTCTGATATAGACAGAAGTGGGAAATGGCCTAGGGAATAAATTGATTGGTAAGTTCATATTTTTATTTCACACTAAAAATTCTGGGCACGGATGTGTGATGCTTCTGTTCTCATGCAGACTAATTTTCATTCACTAACATTTGCAAACTCTGGCAGTTTCTCAGCTGTTGCCAAATGCTATTGGCAATTCCCATTGTGAGGAAATTTCTCCAGGTAGGTCTTCAAATTTTTTTCCCAGCATGGCATTGGGTAATATTTACTATCTCTGATACCTTTTGAATTTTATATGCCTTTTCTATATCCATGGGCAGCCACCTGCATTTCCTTTTAAATATGTTTTTTTTTTCCTGCCTGATATTGAGGAGTGGGCTGTTTTGTACCTCGATTGTGGCTGAAAGTAAAATGGGGCAAAGTGGCTTGGTCCATTGTGGCAGCCTGATCAACAGCAGGACATTTGTCTCATGACAAGGAGTTGTTTTCCTATACGGAAACAGTCTCAGCTGTGTCTTAATTACAATACCACCTATACATCTACCAAGGTACTTCAGGACTTCCTTTGGAGACATCTTTTAAACAAATTAAGTCATTTGATGGTGACCAGACATTGTCTTGAATTTCTGCTTTGGATGGCAGCCAGTTCCAGGCAGCAGATGAGAGCAGGCCTTTTGTAAATGTATCTTAACAACAGGGGTTTTCCCTGCCCCCCCATCCCACAGGTAAAAGCTGCCGTAGCAAGAGTAGACTTTGACCAAGTATCGTGTTGTTTTTCTTTTCCTCTGTAGCAGAAAAACAGGGTAACACTGGTTTAGTTCAGAGCTGTCCAGAGGAGTGTTAGGTACCTGCAGTGCAAAGGTCTTTTACTCTGAAATACTCTAATAATCAGGATGGCCTTTCTGCTTTCCATGAGGAATCATTTTTTATTGTAGATCAAATTGAAGAGCAGTTTTCTACTGTGAAGAAGCGTACAGCAGGATAAAAAAAAGTCACAAATGTCTTCAACAATATTTTTTAGACCTCTGGGAAAAAATTTACATCGGAAAGTCAGATTGTGGGTCTTTGCATACATGAGTTACCCCTTTCACAGTTTGGTACCCCTTTAGGAAAGCTACAGTGAATGTTGGGTAGAATAAAATGGTCAGTCAATGCCATGCAGTAAAGTGGAAACCCTTGGGACTCAGAGCAGCAGGTTTGGGCGCTTATATGAGATACAGAACAGATGCATTTTGGTATAGCATTTTGGTATTTGGCTTTTTGACTTAAAACTCCATTTGCAACTGTCATACTTTTTTCAAGAAGTCACAGCAAACGGGCGTTCACAGAAATGCTGGTAAAAGTAATAGTAGTAATAGTGGCGGGTACTTTCTCACTCATCACAGATACATGGCTCCCATAAGGAAGTTTATGCTCTGTTGAGAAAGCGCAAGCTGCTGTGGAGGAAGACAATTTCTAGTCTTTCAAAGCCTGAATTGTCAATCTAAAAGGGTGACTGATACCTTGTACTATTATCAGCTCGTTTTAGCAGAATCTCTCTTTAGTGGGGAAATACTTGCAGACATAAAAATGTGGTGAAAGTTACAAGAAGACAACTTTTTAGCCTGTTGAAGCTACAGCTAAATTTTAAGAGAGATGCATTCATTTAGGAATTGGAGCAGCTTGCCTGACCAGAATTTTGGAGATGTGCTGTCTGATCTATCTGGAAACGTCATAATCCTTAATCAACAGCACTGTCTTGGAAACATTTGTATTCTGTAGTTTCAGCTGTTCGTTCTAACTTGTAAAGAGTTTCCTGAGGTTTGGCTCGATAGGCCTCTGAGATGGTTTTTGATTCATGCTCTTGTTGCTTCCCATTTGAGATCAAATGACAGACTTCATGTGACAGCCTATAGATTTGTGTATTTGAGATCTGGACAGAGGGCTTCAATCCTGGGATTTGCTTCTTTCGTGTTACAGAAGCTCTGCAGAGTATATTGCAAATCCTATTTATTCATTCATGCATTTAATGAGATGAAGTGTGATTTGAAGGGGGCTTGCTTCCTAAAGATTGGGTGGTTTCTTAGTTTTCATTGTGCAGCCTTGGATTTTTTTTTTTTTTTTACGCTATAGTTTTACAATTTTTTTTAACATCTTAGACAAATGCGTTGCATAAACTGAAAGTATAAATTGTTCAGTGTGCCACCATCAACTTCGGAAATAGGAGCAAAGATTAAGAGACTGCTATGCTAGAGAACTGTTATCTTTTTAACCATTCCCTCTTATCTGTTTTCCAGAGAGCAGATTTGACCTCCGATAAAGATTTATACCTTGACAACAGCTCTGTTGAAGAAGCATCAGGCGTCTATCCAATTGATGATGATGATTATTCTTCTGGGTCAGGTTCAGGTGAGACAACATGTCACAATTTGATTTTAAAAAGTGTAAGAACTAATGCAATTATTTCAGGAAAATCTGTGTAATTTTCCTTTATAAGCTGGAGACGATAGTTTCAGTGAGTATCGTGAGTGCTTGGGGCTCTATTTACAGAGCACTGAGCAGCCCTGTGGGCTGGGTTTTAAATATTAACTTTCTGCTCTTTTCTCTTACTCCTTAGTTGCATCATTTCACTGTGTTATTTTCTCTCTGCTTTCTTTCTCCTTTCCCTCTGGTTTCTGTGTAGATCTCTCTGGAGTTTAGAAATAAGGATTAGAGAAGGCTTAGTTCTCCAATGGCATAACACTAATTTAGCAGTCTGTAAGAAAACTGAGCAGCAGCAATCTTGTTTTCTCTTACATGCGTTCAGGTTCACGTAAACATGATGTCCATTCCTTTTTTGTTGTTCTTTTAAATTTAGAAGTCTAGATACTGCCAAACACATGACAGTTTTTTCTGAGTTAATTACATCCATATAGTGAATAAAGAAATTATTAAACATAACATACTGAGTTCTCAGACTTAAACATGCATTAGAGGCATGTAGCTAGCTCATCATTTTTCAAAAAACTGTCAGTGAAACCTCATTAATAATTTCTCTTTGAAAGCCTCTTTGTGAAGTATCTTCTATACTAGCTGGGAGGCTCCAGCCATTAAAAGTTAAGTGTAGGATTTTATGGTAGTTCTGGAAGAGAAATTTCCTTATTGTTGTATTTGCTGAGCTGTTGTGGAAATACCATTTATTTTCCAAGTGTGTTACTTGTTTGTTTGTTACTGCACTTTTTGTAATCTGTCTTCTGATGTTTATACATACTTGTAGATTTTTAAAGGATGAGCCCTTCTTGTAGCACCTCATCTTTGTTACCTTGTAAGCCACAGCTGAAATTTTTCTGATGGATTTTTGTTTTTCCTTTCTTTGGTGATTCAAAGATATGTTAAAATGAAGTCTGCAGAGGTCTGACTGTGCTGCCAGGCAAATCCAGGCCCACGGTCATGGGCACCTGAGTGATACCTTGTGTTTTGGGAGTCCTCCACAGGGGCAGTTAGACGTTGCAGCGTGATCAGAGGCTTAACTGGACCTCCTTGCTGTAGACTTCTTTGAGGGGAAGTTTAACATTTCATTTAAAAAAAGAAATTAAGAAGTCAGTGATTTCATCCAATTCCCAGGACAGTCTAAGGAAAATTCTGCTCTCCAAGAAAACTGCCCTTTCAGTCAGCGTCCTATTCTGTTTCTTTCCTACAAGAAAACAGGAAAAGTCTCACTGTAGACTGAGACTAGCTGGATGCCCCTCCAGAGAGCTCATGTGACAGTACCAAAATCTAATACCTTTGAACAAAGGAAGAACTCTAAGTTCCGAGCAATTTGTGGGCCCAGTTTTATTCACTTAGGAAAAAATCTCAAGAGTGAAGCAAATTAGCATCCCTTCCACCCTGCTCATCCTGTACTTACTGCTACCTCCATTTTATGAAGTAGAAAGTGTCCTGCAGAAGTACCAATGATCATTTTTCCTCATATTATGATGAACATGTCTCTCTTTACTTGATACTCAGTGATGTAGTGTTTCTAGCAGAAAGAGCCTTCCCACTCAAGAGTGGTTTTCTTGCTATGTAATCCCCCTCCAAGCAAACGGATCCAAGATGACAACATGCTGACTCCTTTCCTTGGTATGAAAATTGTTAGCTGCCACCAGGCCTTTGGAGATAAACAGGAATTGTCAGCGGCACCATTAATGCCCTTGCAGGTCCGCAAGCAGCATTAACATGGACAAATGTCATTGTAAGCATGACACATTTCAAACTAGAAATTGGCTGAGGGCTTTTTGTAAGGAGAAAAAAAGGTGATGGTGTTCTGCTGTTTTTCTTTTCTTTCCTTTCATAGCCTCTTTAGTCTTCAGGTACGTTCAGCTACTGTTGTGCATTTACCCAAGTGTTCAGTCCGAATCCATTGGTCAGCAGTTTCCAAAGGAGCCATGCCTGCTTCCTGATTGTCTTGTATCAACAGCAGAAAGTCCATAGTGAATTCATTAGTCCATTGTTTCCTTCTTTCAGTCTCCATCTCTGAGGAGATGCCTCAGTCATGACTTGTTTTAGTGTTGGTGTTTGTATATAGCATAATAATAAAAGAGTAAAAATAGTTTTTCTGCCTATGTACAACTTGAAATGCTTTTATAACTACTGTTATTTTTTCCTCTGGCACAAAAGATCTTAACTGAGCCTTGGTCTTACAGGTACCTGGAAGTAGCTGCTAAGCAGCATGACTGCCCTTATGTTAAGGAAAAGTACCACCTCTATCAGATTTAGTTACGAGTTCTTTGGAAAACTATCTGTCTGGTTCTTGTGTCTTCTGTTAAGTTACTCATGGTAGACAAGTCTCTGCAATATATATATATGTATCAGAATCTCATGCAAATTTTTCCTTCCCCTTCTTCTCTTCCCTAACCTAATATTTTTCAGTCAATAGCAGCTTGAGTTGAGAAGGTTAGCTCAGGATGAACTAGGTCTGGACTGACGTTGTGACTGGGGACTGTTCTTGAAGGAAAGTTATGGTGGTGGGGTTGGAGCTTCTCCAAGATACAAAAGAGCATATCTGCTTTGGCTCTTGACCTAAAGGGAAGCCAAAGTTACGGTCCAAGGCCAGATGGCAGTGTAGGAGTGCAGTGGCAGCGTGGCGTGGGGCTGGGTGACGGGTGGCGGCTGGGCCGGGGGCCGTGGTTCTGGGGGTGGAGGCGCAGACGCTCTCCCAGGTGCTGAACAGGATCTGGCATGGGAGCCATGGCCGACGCTGGGCGCTCCTGGCCCCGGTGGCACTGTGCCCGGCAGGCACTCCAGGTGGGGCGACACAACCTTTCCTGGTGTGCTTCCCCTCCCGTGGTGCAGGCAACACAGCAAGTATTCATTTTCCATTTCCTGAGGTTCCACTCATAAGTGCCTTTCAGATTGGCTTGGAGCAAGAGCTGCTTCTGTCCACCTGTTACACCAGCCCCAAGCATGCTTCATGACATTTCCTGTCTGGTTCTCCAGGTCCTTTAACATAAAAACCTACCGTGATACTGTTTGAAAGTGTGCTTTTGTTGTGCTGGACAGAATCTTACATTTCAGTATAGTTAGGACTCTTCCTTTTATTCTTTCTTCAAATTTTGTTGGGTTTTTTTCCCCTCCTCGGGTGAGAATTATCAGAGACACGACATCCTTGTGCTGTCTCCATTTATTTAAGCTGCAGTTCCCTGATAGGGCACTAGTATTATGTTTACAGTGTCATCTCTGGTTGCCTGTGTTAGGCAACATAGTTATATGTTAATCAACAGAGTGTTTATGTTGATTAAGGGTTGCACTGGGGACTTTTCATGTGAATGGGGGTGAGATAAGTCAGCTAAAAATGTGTCATTCTGCTATGTGTCACACTAATGGTAGAGATGGAAGGTGTGAAAGAGATGGTGGGTATGTGTGTGCCCACCTTATGACAAGTTTGCTTGTGCTGGTAGTACTCCCAGAGTGTAATGTGCAACAGCAAACAAACACAATGCCAAAAGATCAGGTGAAATGATTGGATTTGTTTGGTAGGAAGAGTTAATCACTGCCTGCTTTGCAAGTAAGAGTGCTAACTACTGTGGGCTTTTTGTAGCGTACAATAATTTAAGCTGGCACAGTCTTGATCTCCTGACAAGTTTCCTGAAGCACCAAGAGTGTGAAAGAGCATTTGCATTCCCATCGTCCAAGGGGCAGCTCATAGACACATCATTGAGGGCTATGTTAGATATTTCCAATACTACAGCACAATTTAGAGCTATTTTGACCAATATGAAGATAGCAGTTGGGCATCCTGAAGAAGTTGTAGTGGATAAAAGATGGTGTGCGATGGTCAAGAGCTCTCAACTCTTTACCACAGAGGTGGCTATGGGTTTAATTACTGCATGGTTTTTGTGGTGCCCTCACTAAGAGGGCAGTATCTATTTGTAGCGGGACTCAAGGCAGTTAATACCCAGCACCATCACCCAAGCTGGCCAAATCCAGAAACCTTCTAAAGAGACAGTGATATTTTCAAGAGGAATAAGTAAGCTCTTGTACGCCAACCATTTCACAGTATTCCTCTTAACAGTCTAGTTGGAAGTTATGCTCGTGACACTCTGTAGGTTTTTTCTTTCCAATCCTATTTGGATTCAGGAAGGGATGTGGTTCTCTTTTTTTTTTTTTAACCTTTTAGGGAATGTGATACTATGTAAAATGCTAATTCTATGTTCTGGAGAGCATTAGGGAGGTTTTTTTGATCCCTCAGTCCTATTTATGGGTAATTTTGAGAATACTACTGTCTGTTCAGCAAGGGAAATGCTTTCCCCTTGTTTATACCTACTCCGTGCCAAGCAGAGACCTGTCTAGATAAAGCTAATTAGAAAGCAGGAACCATGGGGATGTGTCTGAGCCAGTACCTGAGTCAGGCGTAAACGATAGGTGTTTTGGGGATTGTCAGGACTCCCCTGAGGCCATACAGAAGAGGAGTTGGGTACCTTTGGTGCAAATCTAGCAGCTAGTCCAGGAGTTAGATTAGTCACCCATTTGTTAAGAGACTGGAGATCTGCATCCTCTGTAGCCAGAAAGGTTCAGACCTGTAACGCTCACCATTTTATCTGGCAGACACAACTATTGCCTGAAGTGAAGGTGGCATTTAAGGATTTGCAGGAGCAGTTGTGATTAAATAGGACTTATCATTTCATAAAAAAAAAGAAAATAAAGTTCTGTAGTGTCAGTGTGTTTTTATCCGATCTCTAATCTGATCATCAATTTTAATTTCCTTGACTGTGAAAGTCTTGTGTAATTTGGAGGAACTTTGGAAGGTAAAGCAGGCTGAGCTATCCATTGGGCCCTTATTTCTCAAAGAAAACTCTTGAGGCAAAGCCAGAAAAATTTTCCTGTTGGATGCCTTTCCTCACCTCTGTTTTGAAGCAGGATGTTGGGTTTTTGATCTTTGAGTAGCATTTCAGGAAAATATCTGATTCTTGTTGTGAGGTCTTTATTCCAGAGGTTGCACTGTAAGTTCAGTATCTCTGAATGTTTTTCCAGCATTATTCTGTGCCAGTAGCTTTAATGTAGTACTATTTTTAATGATTCCAAATTTTCTTTTCTACAGTACAGAAGTCATTTTAGTTATTGTCTTGTTAACACCTTTCCTTCCAATGCCAAATGTATGTAAGTCTTGATCATAAGTTCAAAACTTTGCTATTGCGCTCGGATTTTCAGCCTGCTTTCTTTCTCTACAAAAATAAGATTAAAAGTCAGTTTGGAATGAGAGTCATACTATTCTGTTGTAAGAGGATATATTTGTATTTGTTAGGAATTACTCATGCATATTTGCTGGATTTATTACCCAATAGTTACTTGGGTAACCGGTGTCTGTAATGAGCAGAACACATTGAGATTCCTAAGGAGTGGTCCAAGAAGAGGATTCTTTTCCTCTTTCAGGTCTTGCAATAATTTAGTCTCTTGTCTGTGTTGTCTTCCTTCCAGTATCACTAAAGGATATTTATTAGATGTGTCCATTATCTTATTCTAAAGAAGCCTTCATACTCCAGCAGGGCTTTGAATATGGAGGAAATTAAATTTAAGGTCATCTTTAGGGAGTTTTCTGTCCCCTTTATTTCAAAAGAAAAGGGCTTCTCGATTATGTGGAGTTTAAAAACGTGCATTCCTAGTGACTGGAACATAAAGTAATAGCAGTCTTCCTGTAGATAGAAACTACTTGGTTTTTTAGATTTACGGGTTTAACAGATTTGCTGTAGTGGAGAGATTTTGTTGTTGAAGCAGTGTGTTACCGGGAAAAACTGTTCAGTTCGTGTAGTTTAAGTCAAGTCAGGATCAAAGAAGTTTTTTGATTATTTATGATATGTAATTAACTGGCACTGATTGAATTATAGTTTTGGGCTCAATATCAGCAATACAATAGATAACCGCAACACCAGCCACTTACAAAATGGTAATATGCAACTACAAATTTCCAGCCCCCTTTCTCTGATTCCAACACGTGCCACACACACATGTAGACTTGTGTGCACACACGCACATCCCTCTCACAGGCCGTGGGGTGTGCAAGTCCCCCTCATCTGGGTGTGCAGGACCCCCCGCCCGCACCCCCCCACTGTGGGAGATGTGGGTGCCCCCAGCCCCCTGTGATCCCAGAGCCCCACCACCTCCTGCCACCCCCAGGAGGTGACCCTGTGTCCCCAGGGTGCAGGTCCCAGGGGTGTCCCTGTGGAGAGCTGGAGGTGGCTGCTGGGGGCACCCACGGGGTGGGGATTGGCGCTGCCAAGCCCCGGCAGAGCCCCCAGTGTCACGGGCCACATCAGACAGGGTCACACCAGCCCTGACGGCTGCCGCTTCCACTCCAGGGTCTCTCCCCCGTTACAAGTGTTTATGCTTTTTTCATACTTCTTTTCAGGCTGGTTCCTTCTGTTTCAAAAATACCGTGGTAATTTCCTCGTTACTGCTTAATCCGGTTGATGTCTCCCTTTCCTCTTTCATGGGATTACTTGGGGCAAATGTCCCCCTGGCAGTTTGGGGCACTCTGTTTGCACTTGCCTCTTTATCATAGCAGGCATTGTCATCTAGGCCATTTGCCTAGGGTGGGTTGTGCAAGCACCCCTACCTCGGTGTCATAATAAAACATGTAATTGGTCTGGAAGAATTTCACAGGTCAATGAAATGTCAGCTTTTTCATCTCTAGGTGCTGAAGAAGATGAGGATAGTGCAGTGACAACAACATCCAGAACACTTCCAAAGTTACCGACAACTAGTGATGCATCTAGGGCTGAGACCACCACGGTGAAAATGCAGACCAAGGTGCCTGCACAAACAAAGGTGCGTGGCTGGAGAGCAACACCATTTACAATGGTTCTGCTGCACCCCATTGGTAGCTTGATGTTAACTTTGATTTATATGGATTAAAAAGCCTCCACAAACTTTACTTAATGCTGCTGCAGCCTGTTATATGAATACAGAGCTGCTCAGTTTCATTCCTACTAGAAAGTCTGCGTAGGGACATCTGGATTTCACGTGAAAGAAAAGAGAGATGCAAAAAAGAATATCTCATGAGCCACAAGACAGTTTCTCATGATACCTTTGAGTCCGAGCTGTACCTTTTTTGCATCTCTCAAAGAGTTATTAAAAAATTCTACTTGAAACTTCCCTTCTCAAAGGAGAATGTTGTGTGGTTTGGCTGTAGTTTGAACACATGCCAATTTGCATTTACTATTTCAGTATTTCCTTCTACCACCATAGGTAATATTGTCTAAGTTACCCTCAAAGGCATTCTGAATATAACATACCTGACATCTTAATTTCAGAATTGTTATTTTATTCAGAGGCCATTATTCTGATAAACACAGGCAATATTTAGCAGCCGTTTGCTAAATACACTTTGAGGAGTTTTAAACTTGTGGATAGTGTTTTTCATTCTGACGCTGTGACAACAAATAGATCCAGTTACAATGTCTAGCATGGCTTTCTGCAGTCAAAAAGCTTCCCACGTGTTGTGTTTGTGGGTATTGTGGAGTATGCGCAAGGAGCCACAGCTTCGTGGCTGCCTGTGATGGGCAGTGACTGTGCCAACTTGCGGTGCGCCCTGTCTGTAAGCGATGCTCTGTTTTCCTTTTTGTGCCACAGTCACCTGAAGAAATCGATAAAGAGGAAAGGCCCGAGACGGATGCCAAGAAAAAGAGTGATGAGCCAGGGGATGACACCGACGTGTTCACTGAGAAGCATTCAGAAAACCTCTTCCAGAGAACAGAAGTTCTGGCAGGTGAGGCATCGTTTGCTAAGGTCCATCTCGCCAGAAATACCACAGAAAACAGAGGGGATCCATATCAAATAATGCCAACTCAACGTTTGTGTGTTCTTCATAGATTCTTAAACACATTCATGAGGGTAGCCACTGGTTGATTTGATGAGAATGAGATGGGCATCTTCTGGCGTTATTTAATAGTGAAGTCTTCCTAATTGATTTGATGCCCGCAAGTTGAATACTGCCTGCTGAATATCTGGAGCTTCCACAGCTCAGAAAGGGAGTTGCAATTTGGATTGATGCTTGCAGTGCAGAATTGTATTTCTCACCCACACTCCCGAGACCACATGGCTGTCTGGTCCATCTGGTGCAGGTGGACACTGCCTGGGAGGAGCTCACGGTGGGGGTGGATGGATGGGTGGATGGAGAGGGATGGATGAGTGCTCTCCTTAGGATACGGAGGGTCTGTTTCCGTGCATAACCCAGGGAGGCACAGGCTGGCCACTGCTGTTTTCGTGTGGCTTTCCTACGTGTGAGGTTTTTCTGGCATAAGAACAGTGTTTACAGGTGTACTTTTCTCCTGTGTCCTCAGAGGGGGTGTTGGGAGCCGTGAAGGTCACACAGTTTTGGACCACATTTTCCTCTGAGCACCAAAATGTGAAATAGCCTTAATATCCACATCAGTGGAAGGATGTGGGTTTGCTCTTGAAGTTTAGTTGGAGTTGATACTTTCTATACACTCGGAAGTGCATGATGAATGTAATGCCTCTGTTCCTACAGCTCCATCAAATGTCCTCTCCTATTACTCATCAATAGGAAATTCATTTCAGTCTAGAGTCAGATGGAGAAAAGGGAAAACGCATTTCTTAGCTAGTGTAACAAAATAGTTCTTTTAAGGCTGAAAATGTTAACTGTTGAAAAAGGAGTTTGAAAGAAACTTAAATGTTATTATAAATGAAGACAACTTTATGCTCTGGCAGTATGGGCGGCTTTCTTAATTGAGCTTTTGGAAAATTTTTAATAACTTTTTTAGAACTGTGCGTTGTTGGATCACTCACTTGTAGATGGAATGTCCTTTTAAATGATTGCCTTCATAAACACAAACAAGCTTTCTGAGAATATATTTCAGGATACTAATAGTCAAGAGAGTTGCATAATGGGAGCCCTTTTCTGTAAATCGAAAGTAATGGCAAACTCATTGTGTGAGATGAAAAAGAAACATGGTGCTAAACTTGTTTTTCCAGCATATTGTGAATGTCTGTTTCTTTGCTTACAGCTGTTATTGCTGGTGGAGTTATCGGTTTTCTTTTCGCAATCTTCCTTATCCTGCTACTGGTATACCGCATGAGAAAGAAGGATGAAGGCAGTTACGACCTTGGTGAACGTAAACCGTCCTGTGCTGCCTATCAAAAGGCACCTACTAAGGAGTTTTATGCATAAAATTCCTATTTAGTGTCTCTATTTATGAGATCACTGAACTTTTTTAAATAAAGCTTTTGCATAGAATAATGAAGATCTTTTTTTTTTTTTTTTTTTTTTTTTTTTTTTTTTTTTTTTTTTTTTTTTTTTTTTCATTAAAGAGCCATTACGGCACCTTTATGATAAAATCCCATTGTATTTAAAACTTTTCATGTATTCCTTTAAAAATGTAAAATTAAAACTTAACATTTGCAGTGTTCTGTGAATAACAGTGGCAAAGCATTATTTTATAAAACCATTGATGTTCACTGAATCATTTTTAAAACTTTATGCATAAATATAAAATAATGAAAATGATTGTTTTATCCTATGGTTCAATGAAAGTTGTTTAATTTTTGTCAGCATGTCTCAGATTGATCTTACAAGTTAGTTTTTATTTCATTAATTTATCTGTTTCCAAAAAATGCCTTTTTGTAGTTGTCATGGTGCAATTTGTCTTCAGATAATTCAGATAACAGTAACTTTTAGTGTAAATGTAATTTTTCAGCTATGTAAACTTTAACCTCCACTTTGTATAAATTTACGTGTCAGAATATCAATTTTACACTTTGCATTGTTTCTCAGCGTACCTGTAGCTTCAGTGAGATTTGTAACAGCAAATTAATGTGTAAAATTGGATTATTACTACAAACTGTGTAGTCGTATTCTTACTAAACAAATCTCCTGTACGGAAGATTTGGAGTAAGCTACTGACAAAACCTAAGCAAACCCAAAGACTCTAACAGTATTTTGAGAAGTTGCTGCAGATTTCTATGGCCACTGTATTTGTTAATTATTTGCAATTTGAAGGTACAAGTAGGGGTTTAAATTTTTGTTCTTTAAAAATGCATTTAAGTTGTAAACGTCTTTTAAAGCCTTTGAAGTGCCTATGATTATATGTAACTCGTCGCAGACTGGTGTTAATGAGTATATAACAGTAAAAGAAAATGTTGGTATTTTATAAGCACAGACAATTCTAATGGTAACTTTTGTAGTCTTACATGGATAGACATAATTGTAATTTGGGAACATAAACACTACTGAATAAATCATGTGGCCTAATACTGAGAATTCCATTGTGATATACTTTTATACGTTTTTCATTTTATGTCTACTCGCTTATGTTTTAATGTCACAGAGTACATCTAGTAGATCTTAAAAATCTAGACCAAAAAAAAAAAAAAAGGCTGTTGATCAGGCTGATCCTCGGACCAGATTTATTGCTGAGAAAAGTGGGAATGTTTAAGTCTTGCATCTGGTGTATGAGTTATGAGTCATTCAACCTTTGCATTATATTTAATGGCAGTATTGACGCAGACCTGTTCTTCCTGCAAATGTTGTTTTCCGTACTGTAAAATTCAAAGGAGTACCTGGTTTCATTTATTGTGTATATCGGTTTTTTATTTGTTGTTCAGGTTTGTTTTTCCCCCAGCCTTTTGGAGAATTTGGGTTTATTCTGCTTGGACTCCAGCAGAAGAGTTGAGACAAGTGGAATATCTTCATAAGAGAAGAAAGAAATATTCCAAGTAGAAGAGAAAAGGCTCTGTTGCTTAGACCGCAGATAGGTGTTGGATAGAGGGGCACGTGGAGAAGACGATAGTCTGCCTCCTTATATTATGCTTTGTAACAGACAAATGGCTTCGTCTTCTGCTCTGTTAACCTCCTCATTTTTTATTTTTGAGATTTCCAAAATATAGGTGTTCAGGACATCAAGCTGAACTGCTTCTCGGAAATGGCAATGTATTGTAAATAAGATCTGGTAGCTCTTCAGATAAGAGTTACATAACTTGTATTTGTTGCTGTCCCAAGTTCAGTGGTCATTTAGGAACAAACAAACGCTATCCTGTGCTAAAATATTTAATATATTGCTTTTTAAATTACTTATACTTACTGGCAAGTTTTTCAAAGCCATACAAGTTCAACAAGTAAAAACAGGGTAAGAATTTAACAGGTATATCTTATTGTGCAATATTTAGTGAAATTCAATTAGTAAAATAACTGCTTGAAATAACTGTGCCAAGAAAAGAAAATTTCTGGCAAATGCTGTGCCACTGCTGTAAAATAAAGCATTTGTTAAAGTGCCAAAATAAAGTCTACCATGCCTAAACTAATACTTTATTTGTATAGTCTGACATCCAGTTTTTTGAAGCCCACTTTGCTTAAGGTAGTAGATCTGAATTTTCTTTAAGGGTGCAATGATTATCACTGTAAGTATAGCCATAAATATTAAACATCAGATAAATTGTCTCCTCCTTCTTCCTAAGCAAAAAGATATTAAGAAGCTGTTTTTATTTATAAATGTTAGACTCTGCCTGTATACCTAATGCACAGGACGCTTCATCCAACATAGCCATCTCTTGTAATTATGCAGGCTGCCAAATATTATGCTTGTCGGGGTCCTCCTGCATCTGCTTACAAGCAGAAGCAATGGTAAAGGTTCAGCTCTATTTCACCACTCGCCCTTTTTTTCCCCTACATATCCATTATCCGCTCTGTTATATGCAGAAGTTGTTTAACGCTTCAGCTATGTACACAGACTGAAGTATCGCAGTCCTCCCACCCTGCCGAACAAAAACCTGAAACTTCTTTAACATGCAGTAGGCATGATAGTAGCATTTATCATCTCCCCATCTCTTTGCCTTTCTCTTCTCAGTGCCAAACCATACTAATAGGGAAAAAGTCTAACGGAGCTATCATCTCGATTATAAACATCGGTTCAGTTCATCAGTCCGAAAACCAGGCTGATGCAGACACCCAGCTTCCAGCAACGCTGCTCAGAAGAAACGGGCAGCTGAATGCACGTCTCTTACCCTGAGCCTTCCTAGCACGAGTTGGTCTTTGGTTTTGCTTCCCTTTTGTTCTCCCCTTCCTGGATGTGTTTCTAGCAATATTCTGGCTGCTCGTGGATGTTGCTGGGCAGCTGGGAGTCCCGGTGCCAGGCTGTGGATGCTGCGCCACAGGCCCACAGCTAGCAGCGGTATCTCTACCTCTGGGATGGCTTTTCCTAAAGACCCTTGGCTCTTCTCCGCTGGAGCTGCTGTAGCAGCTCTGAAATTCCTCAGCAACTTGATCCGGCGCCTCCTTGTGATTGATAGGCTCTAGTGTTTATCAAAATGCCATTTTGCTTTGATTTACTCAGGGTTATAAATGGTTCCTTCCTCTTACATTCTTTGCAAATGAAGCCTGATGCAAGTAAGGTAAAGCTTATGTTAAAAGAAGTCTCTCTCCTTTCCTTTATTCGTGGAAAAACAACTTCAGAAGTTGAGTTCCTCATTCCTCTGCTTGCTAGCTTTGAAATTGAATTGTAGCTCATGTTTACGGGCTGCGTTGCTAGTTTTTTCTTCACTTTGAGCCCTGCAGTTCACTGAAATAGGCTAAATTAAAACCAAAATTGTTCTCCTGTATCTCCTAACAAGAGAACAGCATATTTGTAACTTTGGCTAGTTGTTGCTCTTTTTTTTCCCTTGGAGCTGTGTATTGAAATGATGGTGGAGTGCAGTCTTAAATGACAGATACTATTTTTAAGCAACCTACGGAATACAGGAAACTTTTGTAAGGGAAGAAGTATCCAGATAAACATTAAACAAAAACTATTGGTGTGAGGGAAATGATGATAGCATGGTTAGTATTATATTCTTTGTTCAAATAAGCAGACAAGGAGAAGGGGAAAAGGAATCTGAGGGGAAAAAGATCTCTAAGGAAACTATTCTTACAGATGGAAATAATACACCAAGTTTTTTTAAACTTGTTATCAGTTATATTTGTTACTTAGCACTTGCTTAATCAGACTGGCGTAATTTCCGTTAAGGAATTTGCAATATTGTCTGCTTTTAATGAGCTTTAATATTAGTTTTGTTACATTTAAGCTCTTGCCCATGTATGACAGAGCTCTGAACCTTGCTGTGAAAACTCCATGCTGTGAACTTTTAGAGCATTGCCTTTCCAAAACTTTCTGCAGATTGAGGAAGCACGACTTTGCTGTACAGTTTGTCTGAGAAAAGGTACATATAGCAAGTATCCCCCTCCCTGGCACACCTTTTGGTCCTGGGATGGGTCATGGCTGGGGCCGAAGAGGGGTTTTGCTAAGGAACTGGAGCGGGGAGGGGGACGCCGACATGTGCATCTCATTTCCTCCTGCCTCTTGGGCTGACCAGGCGCTGGGTTCAGCTGTGTGGGTGGGAGCGGAGGAGCTGTAACTCAACCCTGCCAGTGGAAAAGATGCTTTGCCGAGATTTCTTCCCCTGTGAAGTAAAGTAAGTTGTATATTTTTTGCTTTGAAAACAAACAAATGATAAAACTTAAGCTCAGTAGAGCTACAAATGGAAACGTGAGCTCCTGCCCTGACCGCTGTGAACCAATTTCACATGTGCATCGGATGTGCAGAGTAGCTGCTTGCGTGGGTTGAAATCTGAAAAATCCTCTGTATGTTTGCAGTATCTGAGTTTAGTTTCTTGCGGGGATGGGGGGCGGGGGGGGGGGACAGGCGGGGCAGGGCTCATGTAGAACTACAGACATTAATTTGGGGTGAGTGGAAAGAAGGCAGGAAGAGAAACTGTCCTGACAGCCCATGTTTTCCACTGGAAGTTACAAGGCATTTTGTTTTCTTGAGTTGTTGCCGTCACACTGAATTTGCTCTGAACAGAGAGACTCTGTGGGCAGAAAAGTGGGCAGATGTTGGTGTCATATCCTGAGAGACACTCTTGGTTGCACACAGCTTCCCAGCACGTTGGAGATCCGTGCTGCCTGTTGCACGTGTTGCCAGTCACAGCTTCTGCTGGCTGCTCATCCCCCGGCTTTGCAGAGGGACCTCTACAGCAAAACGGGTGGAGGATCTACAAGGTTGACCGCGGGCACCTACTGCTACACCCAGGAGGTGCTGGGAGGGTGGCAGGAGCCAACGATTAGGGTGCTGCATTGCACTTGGAAAGGTCTGGGTTGTCTTTTGTCCGTGGGAGGTGGGAAGAAATGGATGAGACGTGCAACCGGGGCGTTGCAGTTGAGATGTGCTGTTGTATATTGAAGCAACTTTCCATTTCTTCGCCATGCTTGGGAGACGTCAAGCTTTCACTACCCCT